CACCGTTACTAATTCCGTTAAAATTTTAAGAATTGTCGTTAGTTCACCGTTAACTTACTCATTGATTTCAATAAAAAAAAAAAAAAAGGTCTTAGGTTCGAACCTCATCCCAATTAAAGTTGGCATAATTAGTACTCTATTTTACTCTTATTAAATTATATATATAAAAATATTCATTATCAATAAATTAAATAAGAGAAATAATTGTATTAGTTATATTGTCTTTATTTTTCTACAATATAAAAATTCTTTATATTCAAATTTATTAATTGATTATATTCGCTACATTGTCCTTACAATGTCTTAATTCAGTGGAAAAAAAATTATTCATTATCAATAAATTAATTAAGAGAAATATTTTCATTAGTTATATTGTCTTTATTTTTCTCAAATGTAAAAATTTTTACATTCAAATTCATCAATTGATTATATTCACTACATTGTCTATTATCTTTTTTTGTGCACTATTTTTCTAATTAAATATCAAAGTTATAATACAAAATAATGTTATATGTTTATTTACCAAGTATTTTATTAATACCATGAAAAAATTAAAAAAAATATAATTAATAAAGCCAACCATATTAACTACTTTGAGAGATTTTGTGACAAAGAGAGTATTCAAATCACACAACAAATTGAAGTGAGAACTACCTTGCAATGTCCTTGTTTGACAATCAGCAGTTAGCGGATTATATTAGCGGATTTGACCAACGAATTTATTTATCTACTATACTAATAAGAGCCCAAGAGAGTTAGGCCTATAATGGGTAGAAAAAATGGCGGTCACAGATTTTAATTAAATGAATGGCTCAGATTGATTAAAAGATTGATAAGATTTAAATTTTACACTAAAATTTCCTAAAATACCCACACACCGTTACTAATTCCGTTAAAATTTTAAGAATTGTCGTTAGTTCACCGTTAACTTACTCATTGATTTCAATAATAAAAAAAAAAAAGGTCTTAGGTTCGAACCTCATCCCAATTAAAGTTGGCATAATTAGTACTCTATTTTACTCTTATTAAATTATATATATAAAAATATTCATTATCAATAAATTAAATAAGAGAAATAATTGTATTAGTTATATTGTCTTTATTTTTCTACAATATAAAAATTCTTTATATTCAAATTTATTAATTGATTATATTCGCTACATTGTCCTTACAATGTCTTAATTCAGTGAAAAAAAAATTATTCATTATCAATAAATTAATTAAGAGAAATATTTTCATTAGTTATATTGTCTTTATTTTTCTCAAATGTAAAAATTTTTACATTCAAATTCATCAATTGATTATATTCACTACATTGTCTATTATCTTTTTTGTGCACTATTTTTCTAATTAAATATCAAAGTTATAATACAAAATAATGTTATATGTTTATTTACCAAGTATTTTATTAATACCATGAAAAAATTAAAAAAAATATAATTAATAAAGCCAACCATATTAACTACTTTGAGAGATTTTGTGACAAAGAGAGTATTCAAATCACACAACAAATTGAAGTGAGAACTACCTTGCAATGTCCTTGTTTGACAATCAGCAGTTAGCGGATTATATTAGCGGATTTGACCAACGAATTTATTTAATTATTAACATTGGGTAGAAAAAATGACCGCCAAATTATTAAATCAAATGAATGGTTCAAATTGTTCAGGTTTTAATTTTTTTTAAAGTTTTTCTAATTTATCCTTAATTATATGATTATCCATTTAACTTTTCCGTTAAATATCGTTAATTCACCGTTAGTCTAATTATAATATTAACGTCTAATATAGAATTATAATTACACCATTAATCTAATTCTAATATTAAAGTCTTTATAGAACTTAACCACAAATCCTAATGTCGAAATCTCCTCAAACAATATTAGTATATATTTAATATTTTATGCCCTAATTTTTATTTGTTCTCCCCTATGTCCCGTATTTGGTTTCAACCATACCTATACAATTATTTTATTGACAATTATAATCAATCTTGACTATATTATCTTGCATTTGTAAACTTAGAATTACCTATTTAACCCGCACGGGCTTAGCTCAATGGTTTAGTGGGCAGTATTTGGGAGAAGAGACCAAGGTTTGAACCTCGGCGGCGGCAGTGCGGGAATTATGTCCAAAGTGGGCAGATTCCTTATTCGCACCGGCATTTGGTCCTATCTGCTGAACCATTGAGTCACCGTGATTTACAACTTCCCACAATGCTCTGTCGGGTCGGAGTGTGGGGGGCCCTTGGGGTTGGGGACTCAACCTTTGGGAGAAGAATTACCTATTTAAATACGCAAATTCAACCTTCAATTATCTATGCATGAACAATTTCAATATAATCTTGCCTTAATATACTTTAAAGTACTTATTTAAAAAAAAAAAAACATTGGGCATTATCCCAATCGCGCAATGCGCGTAAAAAACTAGTATATACTAATAAGAGCCCAAGAGAGTTAGGCTTATAATGGATAGAAAAAATGGCGGTCACAGATTTTAATCAATTGAATGGCTCAGATTGATTGAAAGATTGATCATATTTAAATTTTACACTAAAATTTCCTAAAATACCCACACATCGTTACTAATTCCGTTAAAATTTTAAGAATTGCTGTTAGTTCACCGTTAACTTACTCATTGATTTCAATAGAAAAAGGTCTTAGGTTCGAATCTCATCCCAATCAAAGTTGGCATTATTAGTAATCTATTTTACTCTTATTAAATTATATAAATAATAATTTAGTAGTTATAACAAAAAATAATACATATGCATTTCTTTAATTTATAATTATGTGTCCACAATGCCTTTATTCAAAAAAAAATTATTCATTATCAATAAATTAACTAAGAGAAATAATTTTATTAGTTATATTGTCTTTATTTTTCTTCAATATAAAAATTTTTTATATTCAAATTTATTAATTGATTATATTCGCTACATTATCCTTACAATGTCTTTATTCAGTGAAAAAAAATTATTAATTATCAATAAATTAATTAAAAGAAATATTTTCATTAGTTATATTGTCTTTATTTTTCTCAAATGTAAAAATTTTTACATTCAAATTCATCAATTGATTATATTCACTACATTATCTATTATCTTTTTTGTGCACTATTTTTCTAATTAAATATCAAAGTTATAATACAAAATAATGCTATATATTTATTTACCAATTATTTTATTAATACCATGAAAAAATTAAAAAAATATAATTAATAAAGCCAACCATATTAACTACTTGAGAGATTTTGTGACAAAGAGAGTATTCAAATCACACAACAAATTGAAGTGAGAACTACCTCGCAATGTCCTTGTTTGACAATCAGCAGTTAGGGGTTAGCGTTAGCGGATTTGACCAGCGAATTTATTTAATTATTAACGTAATGCGACGCTGGCCGAGATGGAGGAATTGCGTGAAAGAGAGTTGCCGAATGGGGTTGATTTGCGCCGAACGAAGGAAGTTAGGCAGGATGTTAGGCGAGATGCAAGTTGGAGGCAAGAAGGGAGGGATTACGGTGCGAATGAAAGGCAGGAAGTTGGGGGGGAACGTGGCAGTAGCTTGAGGCGTGGGGGAGGTGTGTTGGCAGGTGGTCTAGGCGGTGTACATGGGGGTGGCGTGGGTAGTTTAGATGGAGATGGTGTAGGCAGTATGGGTGGAGGAGGGAATAGAGGAAGCATGGAGGAACGTGGCAGTAATATGAGGTGTGGGGGAGGTGTGTTGGCAGGTGGTCTAGGCGGTGTGCATGTGGGTGGCGTGGGTAGTTTAGATGGAGATGGTGTAGGCAGTGCGGGTGGAGGAGGGAATAGAGGAAGCATGGATCGGCATGGGAGGGGGGATGGGGGAATTGCACGGCATCAAGGGGTAGTGGGGGTGTGGTGGAGTTGACGGATAGATGGGCGGAGATGGCGTTGATGGAGGAGGAAGGGGCGGTGTTTATGCCGGAAGGTGGGGATGCGGTGGTAGAGGGTGATGGGGAGGAGGAGGAGGAGACTTGGAGGATTGTCGGGCGGTTTTTGACGCAGAAGATGATCAAGCTAGATTTTATGAGGCAGGTTCTGGCGTCTGTTTGGCAACCGGTACGTGGAGTACAGGTAACGGAGATTCAAAGGGGTTTGTTCTTATTTGTGTTTTTCCATAAGACGGATATGGAATACATGCTGAATGGGGGACCCTGGGCTTTTGAGAATAATGCTCTTGTGTGTCGGGAGGTGTTGGATGGGGTAAATCCTGTGGATGTGGAGCTGGATATGATTGACATGTGGGTGCAGTTGCATGATATGCCAAAGGGGTACACGTCGCATGCAATCTTGGAGCAGGCAGGAAATTTTTTGGGCTCTTTTGTTAAACATGATGACCGGTTTGAGGGGGCACCATGGCTAACGTTTCACCGTATTCGGGTGTCAATTTCGGTTGATAGGCCGCTTAGAAGGAGGATGAGGTCGATGAAGAGAGATGGGACTACAGCATGGGTAAATTTTAGATATGAACGGCTGCATAAGTTTTGCTACTTTTGTGGCTGTATGGGTCACTTGCATACTTTCTGCATACACGCTAGGGAGGCTGGAATTCCAGTCGAAAGGTACCTGTACGGTCCGGATTTGCGAGCTGGTGGATCCCGGAGCGCTCTTAGAGCGGTTGGGGATAGCTGGCTTGTTCCGGTAGGCGGGAAACCACGACCACTGGGAGTCAAGCCACGTGTAGTGGATGGGGGACAGGGAAGTGGGGCTGTCACACCCACGAGTATGTCTGAGGATGAGGTGGTGGTGGCTACGGCAAAGCGTCGTAGACATGGAACCATGGGGGGAGAGGGAAGTGGAAACGATGAGGTAACAACCGCAGCTGTTTCAAAAAACTTGTCCATGGCGGGAGCTGGTGTCCAACCCCGCCCATCATCATGAGTACTCTGAGCTGGAACTGTCGTGGCTTGGGCAATCCACGCACAGTTCGACAGATTGTGGGCCTTGCGTCCAGTAAGAAGCCTGATTTTGTGTTTTTGATGGAGACCAAGGTACCACGGATACATGCAGAACGGATCCGGGTTACGCTTGGCTATGAAGGTTTGTTTTATGTTGATAACGATGGTTTGAGTGGAGGAATGGCGCTTTTGTGGAAGAAGAATAATACGGTGAGATTTTTAAGCTATTCGCAGAGTCATATTGATGTGGAGGTTAGCTTGTTTAATAAGTTATGGCGCATGACATGCATTTATGGTATCCCCGAGCGTGGTAGGCGGGAGGAGACATGGGATTTACTTGGTACTCTCAAGACTAGATCCTTATTGCCCTGGGTGGTGATAGGGGATTTTAATAATCTATTATATCAGCATGAGAAGAAGGGGGGAAATCCGTATCCTAATAGTCTGTTACGGGGTTTCGGAGATGCTCTGGATGACTGTGGTTTGATGCAAATGCCAATGAGGGGCCATCAGTATACGTGGCAGAAGGGGAAGGGGACGCCGAATTGGATAGAGGAGAGATTGGATAAGGCTTTAATAACGAATGATTGGGGTCTGCTCAATGAGAATGCAATGCTGGAAAATATTCGAACTCGGGCATCGGATCATTCGATCCTATTCCTCAGTATTAATGCCATTTGCATGCCAAGGAGAAGGGGACCGCGGAAGTTCAGATTTGAAATGGCTTGGCTATTGGATGAGGGGTGCAAAGGAGTAGTCGAAACGGCCTGGCAAGAGGGGAGAACGGAGGGATTGCTGCACTGCCAGCAGTTGTGTGGAGAAAAGTTGATGCGGTGGGGTGGAGATCAGTTCCATAAATTTGGAAAGCGAATTAACCACCTGCAGCGGAGGCAAGATGCCATAAGGAATAGACGAGATTTGGTAGCTCTCGCTGAGTACCAACAGATTGAGAATACCATGAAACGAGTAGAGGCCCAGGAGGATGTGTTTTGGAGGCAGCGGGCCAAGCAACACTGGCTACGCGGGGCTGATGCGAATACAAAATTTTATCACAGGTATGCTTCTGCACGCCGGAAAAAGAATTTTATTTCTACTATTAAATGTGATGCTGGTAACTGGGTGGAGGGGGATGATATGCATGTTGTTATACAGAATTACTTTGAAAATATTTTTGCCTCAAATGAACTGAGTTGTAATGATCCACTTTTTGGAGTCCTAACCCCACGAGTAACGTTCGAGCAGAATGTGATGCTAGACCGCCCTTTTGAAACTAATGAGGTTAAAGAGGCTCTTTTTTCAATGTATCCGGATAAGGCACCGGGGCCGGATGGGTTGAACCCGGGTTTCTACCAGCAGTTTTGGGGGATAGTGGGAGGAGATGTATCTGGTTTTGTAATTAATGCCTTGAATTCCTGTGTATTCCCTGAAGGATTGAATGATACTAACATTGTCTTGATACCGAAGAAGGAGATGCCTGAGACAGTAGCAGATTTAAGGCCGATCGCACTGAGTAATGTCATTTACAGAATTATGGCCAAAATGATAGCAAATAGGATGAAAACATTGATGGGAGGATTGATCTCAGAATCCCAGAGTGCTTTTATCCCGGGAAGGCTAATCACGGATAATATCCTGGTGGCAGCGGAGGTGGGGCATTATCTGAATAGAAAGCAATGTGGTATAGTGGGATGGAGTGCATTAAAGCTAGATATGTCAAAGGCCTATGATAGAATGGAGTGGAACTTTCTGGAAAGGATGCTGACTGTTATGGGTTTTAGTGAGAAGTGGGTAAAGCTCATCATGATGTGTGTAACGACTGTTAATTATACTGTAATGATTAATGGTATAGAAGGGGGGCACGTAAAACCAACCAGGGGACTCAGGCAGGGAGACCCGCTCTCTCCGTATTTATTTATTATTTGTGCAGAGGCTCTCTCGATGATATTACAGTATGAACAGTTGGCAGGGTCAATACATGGGTGCAGAGTAGCAAGGGGGGCACCGCCTGTATCACACCTATTTTTTGCGGATGATAGTCTCCTATTTTTTAAAGCAAATACCCAGGAGGCAGGAGTTATAAGGCAGTGCCTTGCAAGGTATGAGAAATTGTCAGGCCAGGTAGTGAATTATAATAAATCAAATATATGTTTTAGTAGAAATACCCAGGAGGCTGACAGGGCACAGGTGGCGAATTGTCTGGGGGTGGTACAAGCACCAAATTTTGGAAAATATCTGGGCCTACCATCTTTTGTAGGGAGAAACAAGAGAGATGTTTTTTCGTATGTGAAGGAAAAAATCAGGCAGCGAATTGGTTCGTGGAGTAAAAAGCTACTCTCTCAGGCTGGTAAGGAAGTATTATTGAAAAGTGTAGCACAATCTATGCCTACCTTTTCGATGAGTGTTTTTTTGTTACCTGAGACAGTTTGTCAGTCAATTGAGCGAACTATGAATAAATATTGGTGGGGCAGTGGAAGAGAAAGGGGAATACATTGGAAGGCATGTGACAGGTTGTGCATACCAAAAAAGTATGGCGGTATGGGTTTTAAAGAGCTGAGGGCTTTTAATATAGCAATGCTAGGTAAACAGGCATGGCGATTTTTAACAGACCCAGAAACACTTGTAGCCAAAATCTACAAGGCAAGGTATTATCCCACAACCAGTTTTACAGATGCAACTATTGGTAATTGCCCGAGTTATTGTTGGAGAAGTATAATGGCGGCCCATGCAATGGTAGTCTCAGGGGTGCGAAGGAGGATTGGGAATGGACAGACAACCCTAATATGGGGACACCCGTGGTTACGAGACAATCCTAGCCCATTGATTCAAACAGAAATGCCGCAACAATTGAGAGAGGCGCGAGTTGCAGGACTAATTGATTTACAGATTCATACCTGGATCCGCACATTCTGTCTGATTTATTTATTCCTGAAGATGTGGAACGAATAAATATGATCCCTGTTAGTCCTGAGTATGAGGACTCATGGTATTGGATGAGTGACCCAAAGGGGACATATACAGTAAAGAATGCCTATAGGCATATTGTGGGAGATTATGAGAATAATCCAGCGAATTTTGATAAGTGGATCGCAATGTGGAAATTAAAAGTACCCCCGAAATGGAAAACGTTTTTGTGGAGAGCCATATGTGATATTTTGCCAACAACCCTTAACTTGATATTTAAAAGGGTGGAGGTGGACCCAACTTGCCCTATGTGTGGTTTAGATCATGAAGATGTGTTACATGCTTTAGTGCTTTGTGAATATTCTAGACTTGTTTGGAATATAACACAATTACCTATTATTAATATGGTTGCAGACTCGTTTACAACATGGCTAAAAGGGGTTATGACAGTCTTGACGGAGGAGCAGGTCCGGTTAATGGTAGCAATATTATATTATATTTGGAGAACCCGGAATTCAGCTGTCTGGAAGGGATCAATGATGCGGCCTGCCCGGTTGGTCAGAGCAGCCACCGTAGCACTGCAGGCGTATGGCACTGCTCATGTTGGCCGAACCAACCCGACACCGGCGACGGACCACGTGAATGGTTCAGGAGGGGGTGGTCTACGATGTTATGTGGACGCGGGTTTCCGGCACGACACGGGCGAGGCTACTTACGGCATGGTAATTATAGCGCCAGATGGCTCGTTTGTGGCAGCGAGGAATGGCAAGTTACCAGTTTGTTTTTCACCACTTATGGCGGAGGCTCAGGCATACAAGGAGGCTTTGTCCTGGCTACTTGAACGGGACACCACATCAGTAAGTTTACTCACGGATTGCATGGAATTGGCAGCGATATTCAGGCACCATCATACGCCGATCCATTCGTACGTTGGGGTCACAGTTGACCAGTGCAGGACGTTTATGTCGTTATTTAATCATATTACTTTGGATTATATTTCTAGGCAGGTTAATTTACATGCGCATACTTTAGCTACGTTAGCATTTACTCAGGATCAAACTATGTACTGGGATGCTATCCCACCTGACACTATTTCGGCTTTGATTCATTAATACAATCGCAAGATTGACCTTCAAAAAAAAAATATGATTATCCATTTAATTTTTCCGTTAATTCACCGTTAGTCTAATTCTAATATTAAAGTCTAATATAGAATTATAACTACACCATTAATCTAATTCTAATATTAAAGTCTTAATAGAACTTAACCACAAATCCTAATGTCGGAATCTCCTCAAACAATATTAGTATATATTTAATATTTTATGCCCTAATTTTTATTTGTTCTCCCTTATGTTCCGTATTTGATTTCAATCATACCTATACAATTATTTTATTGACAATTATAATCAATCTTGACTATATTATCTTGCATTTGTAAACTTAGAATTACCTATTTAACCCGTACCGGCTTAGCTCAATGGTTTAGTGGGTAGTATTTGGGAGAAGAGACCAAGGTTTGAACCTCGGCGGCGGCAGTGCGGGAATTATGTCCAAAGTGGGCAGAGTCCTTGTGCGTATCAGCATTTACAAACTCCCACAATGCTCTGTCGGGTCGGAGTGTGGGGGGCCCTTGGGTTGGAGACTCAACCTTTGGGAGAAGAATTATCTATTTAAATACGCAAATTCAACCTTCAATTATCTATGCATGAACAATTTCAATATAATCCTGCCTTAATATACTTTAAAGTACTTATTTAAAAAAAAAAATTTGGCATTATCCCAATCGCGCAATGCGCGTAAAAAACTAGTTGTATAGTATAAAAGACTATTTTGTTGTAATTGTGGTGCCCGTTGGCCCGTTAGCTCCTAACCGGTGTATTGTAAGCAATATAATCTATGAACTAAAACAGGAAATGTAAAAGAGTAGAGAGAAGTGATAGTAAGAATGACCAGAATTAGAAGAAATCAGTGTGCCCTTTCATTCAAGCATTGTACAGTATATATACACAAGAATGGGTAGCTGTTACAAATCTATTCATTAAGATTGACTGTTACAAATTAGGCCATTAAGCCCTATAATAATGTCCATCAATCATGTTTTATAACACTCCCCCTTGGACATTATTTTGTCATAATCATGCCTCGTTAAAAACTTCACTAGGAAAACCACGTGGGAAAAAAACCTAGTTGAAGAAAAGAGTACATGATATATAAAATCATATATTGTATGATTGATTTATTAAAAACCTTAACTTAAGAAAACCCTGTGGGAAAAAACTTAGTTAAGGGAAAAAGAATACAACTATAAGCCTTCAAGGCATAATCTTCAGGATTTTGGGGTTTGTCTACTTAAACATTTATTTTGTAACTTTTCTTATTGGCATCATACCCATGCTTCGTTAAAAACCACACTAGAAAAACTTAATGAGAAATACCTAGTGAGGAAAAGAGTACATGGTATGTATATGTTGCAAAAGGTACAATTGTTAGTCTTTTAAGACCCAATCTATGGGATTAATTTGAGTTGAATGTGCTTTCAGTCTCCCCCTGAAGATAATAATCTTCAAAGTTTAAATATTCTAAATAAAATATTTGTTTTGATAGGGAATATGATACACCCTTCGAGATTGTTACTAGAACTAACATTATGTATAATGATCTAGTGACTCTTCTGGAGCTCACATGGATTGAATATTGATGCTATGTATTTTGTTTAATATTCTTAACTATACCCATTTAATATTTGTATAACATAAGCTTTTAGATAATTAATGTGGGTAAAACAAAACATAACCAGTTTAGGATTTGTCATCAAGAATATCAATTAAAATAACCAATATCCAAGTAGCCAAAAAAAATCCTACTTAGTTACTCATATATAAACAAACTTTGTATCTCAAAGATACATGTTGCGGTTTTCATTTTTCTCATTTTTGAGAACTTTTAATTCTGCATATCCTATTTTATCATTCTGCCAGTTATGTAGCGGAACTTTAATGACATTCATTTTGGGAGAGTATATTCATTTAGCTACGAACTCTCTTTTATATTTACACCACCTCATTATCCTTGTTTCTCTTTCATACACATACCCATTTTGTAACCTACAGGGTTAATGGTGTATACGTTATAAAGAGCATTTATCAGCGAGTTGAGCTATATATATGCCTTTAATGGCTCTTTTTATACATTAGTTAATTAGGGCACTTCTAGTGCCTAACTCTGGATCCAGATATAATATGAGCAATTAAAGGTAATTGTGTTGTCGACAACTTTAATATTTTCATAAGTTTCTCCCACATATAAAAGCTTTTATAGTATTTCTAAGTCAACTAGATTATAGCCATTTCCCAAAGATATTTGCATCTAGTTGTTCCGCATCTCAGTATTGTGATTATTTTGGTGCACCTATAAACTTACTGAGCTTTCTCGTCTTCTGGACGTACATAACTTCTTAAGATTTTTCGAGAGTGACAAAAATTCTTTACTAGATCTAGTTCTTTTGGATTCTTATTTTTCACTCTTTGGCAGATAGTTGCAATTATTTTATGAACTAATACGTGATTTTGAAAGATGAAGATCATTTCATTCTGTGTAATTTCTCGGCATTCTGACTCATATCTCCCCCTAATGCCGCGAACCGATCTTCATAAAGTATGAAGTCAGTGATCCTCTGACTTTAGATTTTCAGACAACTGACAGAGGCATACAACCAATGTGTATTTGATAGCCTCTAGAGATATGCCATGGTGGTGTGACAGTAAAATAAACTGCATACTGCAGATTTTGGGAAATGTACGATTTTGAAATCACGTATATCAAGTATAAGGGAGAATAAGGATATGCAGTGTGCCGGAGGTTTAGAATTAAAGCATGGAATATTTTATTTCCCCAACAAGTATCCGGCAAACAATAGAGTATCTTATTTTTGAAATTCATAGATAAAGAATTATCCGAAATTCATAGATAAAGGATTATTCAAAAACAATAGAGTATCTTATTTTTGAAAGATATATGCTCGCATGCATAAAAGAACGAAAATGATGTATGAAAAGAATGAGACACTCATACTTGGTCTCCATAATCCTTAAGCTCCTCGCCTAATAAGTCATCACTCAAATTGAGTAAGGTGTTTGCTTCAGGCAATGCAGCTTGAGAGGATTCATTTGTCTTCCGGTCATTATTTCGTTGTATCATCATCTGGTAGGCTTCGACCAAATGTTTTGAAGTGCGACACGTGCGGGACCAGTGTCCTTTGCATCCACATTTATAGCACGTATTTTGCTGTCCTTGACGAGTTTGATCTTCGGGTTGCTTATTCTGGTCCGAGAATCTCCGTTATTAGCTCCGCTCTTGCCACCTCGCTTCGGGCCCCTACCGCGGCCTCTTCCTCGCCCTCGACCCCGTCCCCTCCGATTGTTGCTTGATTGGGCAACATGGTGCACTTCAGGTGCAGGTGCAGCACCGGTTGGGCGTGCATTGTGGTTACGCATCAACAATTGGTTGTGCTTTTCAGCGACCAGTAACGCAGAAATCAGCTTTGAATGCTTAGAATAGTTTTTGGCCCTGTACTGCTGCTGGAGTACAAGATCATTAGCATGAAATGTGGACAAGGTTTTTTCTATCAAGTCTGTATCTAAGAGTTCCTGCTCACAGAGCTTGAGCTGAGATACGACCTTGTGTAAAGCTGAGTTATATTCAGTTACTGATTTAAAATCCTGGAATCGGAGGTTTAACCAATCGAATTGTGCTTGTGGCAAGATTAGTGATGTCTGCTGGTCAAAACGATCTTTAAGGGATTTCCAAAGGGCATGTGGGTCTTTTTCAGTGAGGTACTCATTCTTGAGATCATGGTTGAGGTGGTGGCGGAGGAAAATTAGGGCCTTAGCTTTCTGAGCGTCATCGCTCGGGGAATTTTCAATGATTGTGTCTTGTAGTTCTGTTGATGTGAGATAAATCTCAACATCAAGGGCCCATGTCAAATAATTGCTTCCATCTAGGGAAAGCTCGGTGAATTCACGTTTCACGATGGCAGCCATAATCTATTGTTTTCAAAAGAAAATTATTAGTTCTGGCTAAACTTGATGGCGTAAATCCAAAGCCTAATTTTATAATTCACATAATAATAAAATTATATATTATGCAAGACAGAATATGCATAGAAATTCATCATATTATCCAAATAAATTGCAAAAAAAATAGCAATTTAATATATAAACATATTCAACCATAATATTCAGATAATAGGCCCAAAACAATTTATACATTTATACGTATATCAGAAAAGATTAATAAATAATCATAAGCCCCAAAAAAAACATAATGTTTTGAAATGGGCCCAAAATACACTTTTCTGTTAAAAAAAATACGGGCCAAAAAATACCCAAAATGGGTTTGACTAATTAAAACAAAAATTAGAACCCTATATCAGATCAAAACTGCATTGGATTTTCATATTTTGCATCTGATGTCAATCGATCGATTTTTATAACTTTCATCTCCATCTTACGAGATGGATCGATTTTTATAACTTTCATCTCCATCTTACGAGATGGATCGATTTTTATAACTTTCATCTCCATCTTACGAGATGGAGATCTGCCCTCTGGCTTGCCAAGAACCCTCGCCGGAGGTTCTGGATGTTCGCGGATCTCGCCAAACGCGCCCGAGCGGAATGCGATTGCAAGAAAAGGATGCGAACACCTCTGTATGTGCAGAAGGTTTCCTTGCACTTTATTGATGCGGCTAGTCAGATTGATCGGCCAAGCATTACCGATTAGATGAGCCGCGAGAAAAAAAATAACAAAACAAAAACAAGAGCGGTCACAATGTCTGGGATGTTGAACCAGAGCCGCTGCCGCCCTCTGCCAGAGAGTCGTGCTATCGCGAGCCGCCACCGCCCTCTGCCGGAGAGCCGTACTGTCGCGACTGCTACCGTCGCCGCCCACCACCGGGCTTAGATCAACGACCAAAACAGTTTTTTTTTTTTTTTTTTTTTTTTTTTTTTTTTTTTTTTTTTCGAAAAAAAAAAAGAGTATACATACATTCGACTTTTTCGAAAAAAATATGTATTTCTTTATTTCGAAGTAAATCATTTTTCGAAAAGAAAATTTTGTATACATTGAGAATGCTGTTATTCTGTAGATTCTGAAAAGTATATGTATACAAAAAAACATAATGTTTATCTGTATATGAAAAAAAATATATGTATTCGAACATTCATATGAATTCGGATGTATATAAAAAAAAATGCTTAGACATATTCCACATAAACAGAAACTCATAGTATAAATATGCAATTTGAGACATCTAGAAATAATGCTTAGAAAAATCATAAAAGTACCGTTCACCGGGACCGGGATTGAGCGTGCTGATAACGTGTTGTAATTGTGGTGTCCGTTGGCCCGTTAGCTCCTAACCGGTGTATTGTAAGCAATATAATCTATGAACTAAAACAGGAAATGTAAAAGAGTAGAGAGAAGTGATAGTAAGAATGACCAGAATTAGAAGAAATCAGTGTGCCCTTTCATTCAAGCATTGTACAGTATATATACACAAGAATGGGTAGCTGTTACAAATCTATTCATTAAGATTGACTGTTACAAATTAGGCCATTAAGCCCTATAATAATGTCCATCAATCATGTTTTATAACATATTTGTATTAATTTATTTTTTACTTTTATTTTATTGAAGATTTTAAGTGTGTTTTTGGTCCAATTGGACACACTAAATCTTCAGGCACTTCTTTAAAGTAAATTAAAATTCTGAAATAAATTTTAAAATGGAAGCTGGATTCAGGTTAGAAGGTTTGGCGCATAAGCATCGCAATTTATATCCTACACCATGGCGCGCGTTGCACTGTGCGCTCAGATGCAAAACAACGTCGTTTTAATCTTCTTTTTTTTTTTTGAAATTTTCCGCCCCAGTGAATGGCAGTTATTTTTTTCTCTAAAAAAAACCCCTGTTCAAAAAATGTACATAATGTTATACTAGAATACACATAATTGTATACATGAATGTACATAATTATATAACAAAATATACATACTCTTTTTAAAAGATAATACACATAATCTAACATAATACATAATAAACATAAACTTTTAACATAATACACATCAACTCTTAACATAATACACACAAATTTTCTGATTCGGATGTACATAATTGTATAAAAAAATGTACATAATTGTATAAAAAATATACATAACTGTATGAACAAATACACATAATTGTATGAACAAATACACATAATTGTGTGAACAAATACACATAATCTCAGCAACTTCCTACCGCGCCTCCCAAAACGACCCCAAAACGACGTCGTTTTGAGAGGCGCGCGGCGCACAGTGCTATGTGCGCCGTGGTATAGGGTGTAACGATTGCATAAGCATTCTTTGTGTCCAGGAGTAGATTCCTCCCGGGAGTCATATATATTTTATATTTTTAATTAAAATTTAAAATTTTAAACACAAATTTAATATTTTAAACGGTTTAACTTTTTTTAAGATTTGTCTCACAAATCAAGATCTATGAGATGGTCTCAAATAAGTCTCTGTTTAATTTTTAAATGCGTAAATTCCATCCATCATCATTAAAACAATTACTATAAAAATTAAATCGTAAGCAAGCCGAAATAATATAATATTTGATGGAATAAATGGATATGGATGGACTTGAATTACTTAACCCAAATACCCAATAATAAAGGAAATAATAAATAAATGACTAATGATATGAAAAGACAATAACAACACGTTTGGTTCACGGAATGAATTTTGAGGTAATAGGAACGCTATTCCATAAGAAATGGAATAGGCAAGGAATAGACTTTATGAATTATATTACCGTGTTTGGTTGGTTTAAGGAATAGAAATGAAATATGTTTTAAAATACATAAATGCCCTTATAAAAATATGTGGTGGTGTCGATGGTGGCGGTGTTGCTGATGGTGGTAGTGGCGGCGGCGACGACGGTGGTGGTGGTAGCAGCAGTGGTGTCGGTGCTGGTGCTGGTGGTGGCGGCGGTGGTGGTGGTAGCGGCGGGTGGTGGTGGTGGTGGTGCTGGTGGTGGCGGTACTGGTGCTGGTGGTATTGGTGGGGTGGTGGTGCTGGTGGCGGTGGTGGTAGCGGCGGCGGCGGCGGTGGTGGTAGCGACGGTGGTGGCGATGCTGGTGGTGTTGGTGGGGTGGTGGTGCTGGTGGCGGTGGTGGTGGCGACGGCAGCGGTGGTGGTGGCGGTTGTGGTAGCGGCGGCAGTGGTGGCGGCGGTAGCGACGGCAGTGGTGGTGGTGGTAGCGACGGTGGTGGCGATGCTGGTGGCGGTGGTAGTGGCGGTGGCAGCGGTGGCGGTGGTGGTAGTGGCGGTGGTGGCGGTGGTGTTGGTGGGGTGGTGGTGCTGGTGGCGGCGGCAATGCTGGTAGCGATGGTGGTGGTGGTAGTGGCGACGGTGGTGGTGGCGATGGTGATGGTGGCGGCGGCGACGGTGGTGGTGGTGGGGTGCTGGTGGCTGTAGGGGTGGTGGGGTGGTGGTGACGGGGGGTAAAATAGGAAGTAGAAATTTTAGGCTATTCCTGAGAACTCAGTAATAGCCTAATACTAGGGGGGGCCCTGGTAATAGCTATTACCTTATCTGGGGAAATAGGGTATCACTGGGAATATTATTCCCAGTAATAGAAACGGTTACCAAACAAAGGAATAGACCTATTACTAGGAATGCTATGCCATTCCCGGCCTATTCCGTGAACTAAACGAGCCATAAATGTGTGTCACGGAGACAAAGATTATTGTATTAATGTTTCTGAAATGCCATTACAAGAGAATGTGTGATTAGATGATAATGATGATGGTGTCTTAACAAGACAACTTCAATGGTATAATACCAATGAGTCTCTTAACTGTCCCCCTAAAAAGGAGGGATTAGTTGCAAATACTTGAATCACGCCCGGTCTCGTGGCCGGCCCCCACTTGGTGTCGGTGGCCGAGGCCTGGGGCTAAGGCCTAGGTTGAGGCCTAAGTCGAGCACGAGGCTTATTAGAACATGTGGGAGAAGGGTAGCTGGCAGGAGGTTAGAAGGGCACCTCGGTTTGTTATTTCTGTTATAACGGCTTTTGTCGCTTGTTTCTATCGAGGTATATCTACCCCTCGCATGCTTCTTGTACAGGTTGACAAAACAGACTTCCAATAACGACTTTCCAGTTCACAATCTGCTTCCTCTCTTCCATCTCTCTCTTCGCTAAATCGAACTTTCGTCATGGTATCATAGCCATGGCGTACAAGCTACGCCGTGGTGGTTACCGGCGCCGGAGAGGCGAGTCAGCCGGGAACTCAAGCACCGTCGATGAATCAGCCACCGATCCACACTGTTCCGCATGTAGTCTCGCAGAGAGGCCAAGTTGAAGATATCGAGAACCCCCTGCATCTCAACGTCAACGAGAGTCCAAACAACATCCTTGTTAGTCCACCGCTCACAGGTAGTGCTAACTACGGCTCGTGGAGTATCGCCATACAAGTCGCTCTAGAAGTGAAAAACAAGTGGTCGCTTGTTGATGGGAGCACAGAAGCACCAGACAGATCGCAGATCCATTATCCGGCGTGGAGGAGGTGTAATCTGATGGTCAAGTCCTGGATTCTGAAGGCAGTTCATCCCTCAATCGCTCAGAGCGTGTTATACATGGATGTCGCGAAGGATGTATGGAATGATCTACGGAGGAGGTTCTCCCAACGTGATGCGCACCGCATTTCCTATTTGCAAACTGAGATCTACGGATTGAAGCAGGGGAATCTCTCAGTGAACGAGTATTATACGGAGTGTAGATCACTTTGGGAAGAGATGAATAAGATGCGGCCTCTTCCGATCTGTAAGTGCATTCCAAAATGTTCCTGCGATTTAGTTGATCAAGTCAGAAAAGATCGAGAAATCGATCAAATCATACAATTTCTACAAGGCCTAAACAACGACTATAACTCTCTCAAATCTAGCGTTCTAGTTCTTGATCCGTTGCCTGACCTGTACAAAGTGTTCGTTATGGCTGAGAAACTGGAGAGACACCTCAATGACACGAATCCTAATCTGGAAATTGTCCATGCTAATGCTGTCTAGAACAGCCAGAATATGGAAGAAGTTGTCGCTGCGGCGAATTTCCATAATAACAGAAAGAATCCGAACTCTGGAGGGGGAAACAAGAATGCCAAGTGTACCTATTGTGGCATGACCGGGCACACCATTGAACGTTGCTACAAGAAACACGGCTACCCACTGGGGTGGGTGCCGGGTTACAAATCTAAGGGAAAACAATCGACAATGGCAGCTGCTGCAAGTTCTGATGCTCAGATGAACATGGATCATGATCAAATGCAGAAACTGATATCTCTCTTGCAGGCACAAATCGCACAAAGTCACACCTCTATGACAGCAGCTGTATCCCTAGCTCCCAACTTCAATACTGAGACACAAAACCAAGGCAAGTCTCATATAACTTCTCATATAAATTCTGTCAATCTATCCGCTTCTACTTGGATACTCGATTCGGGAGCAACTGACCATATAGTTTGCTCTCGTGATTTTTTTGATGATTATCATGCTATTGAGGGAGCTACTGTTAATCTACCTAATGGAGGAGAGGTTTCTGTTCGACACAAGGGAAATATCAAACTGACAGATGATCTTTGGCTACGGGATGCCTTACACATCCCAGACTTCAAGTTTAATATTGTATCCGTCAGTAAATTACTCCAAAATTCTTCTCACACCTTGGTTTTTGATTTTGATCAGTGTCTGCTTCGGAGTCTTGGGAAGACCATTGGTTTTGCTAAAGAAGAAAGGGGTCTATACCTGCTGATTCAACCTCCTAGAATCAATGTTTGTAATCGTTTTGTTTTGCAGTGTAATAGTGCTGAGTTGTGGCACAAACGTTTGGGGCATTTCCCTATTAATAAGATGCATCTAATAAAGAACATTTCTGCTTCTCATCAAAACAGTTTACCATGTGATGTGTGTCATTATGCTAAGCAGAAACGTTCTTCATTCCCTCAAAGCAATACTACCACAGAAGAGTGTTTTGATCTAATTCATGTGGATATATGGGGGCCATTTATGGTGAAATCTTTGGGAGGTGAAAGGTACTTTCTCACTATCGTAGATGACTATTCAAGATACACCTGGGTTCATCTCATGAAGAGCAAATCTGAAACACGCACAGTGATAAAGACCTTCCATAGGCAGATTCAAACACAATATGGCAGAGCTATAAAAGTCCTTCGAAGTGACAATGGCTTGGAGTTTAATATGACAGAATTTTTTGCTGAGACTGGTATGATTCATCAAACTTCATGCATCAACACACCACAACAAAACGCGGTGGTTGAACGAAAACACCAACATATCATGAACATTGCTAGAGCTCATCGATTCCTAACTGGTCTTCCTCTTGAATTTTGGGGGTTGTGTGTTCTCTACGCTGTATTCATTATCAATAGGCTGCCATCCCCTGTAACTGAGTGGTTGAGCCCTCATCAAAGATTGCACAAAAAGGAGCCCAATCTTGACAATGTAAGGGTCTTTGGGTGTTTGAGCTATGCAGCCATCCTCTCTCATTCTCGGCACAAGATGGCGCCTCGTAGCAGACGTTGCATCTTCATTGGGATGCCTGCCAACGTCAAGGGTTACTTATTGTATGATGTCCAAACCAAGTCCACACTCATATCAAGGGATGTGATTTTTTATGAGGATCACTTCCCCATGATTGATCAGTCTCTCCACAGCCAAAGGAATGATAATCCTTCACTACCGAATGTGCCAATTGATGAGGAATTCCTAGAGTACAATCATGGCCACATGTTCAGTGACAACAATGAGCCCCCACATAATGTGTTCAGAAGCAGCAATGATGAGGCCCTTCCTAACAGCACAGGAAGAAGTGAAAGCCATTATAAACCAGTAGTGGATGATCGAATTGAAGTGGAGCTCTCCCTAGATGATCATACTGGAGTTGAGTCAAATTTGGAGGACCACACTGGCAATAGCAGAAATTCATCACACACACTTCCTGGTGAAGGATCAAATATGGAAGAAGGTGTCAATGATCTCACTACACTGCCTAGAAGATCAAACAGGCAGCGCAATATTCCAACCAAGCTGCAAGACTATTTCTGTGATGCTGCTATAAACAATAGGACTTCTCCCCACTCCATATCGAAGGTAATATCTTATGTCAATCTCACTCCCTCACATAAGATATTCTCTTTGGCAGTTTCGTCCATCAAGGAACCCCAAACGTACAGCCAAGCTATACAACACGAATGCTGGAAAAAAGCCATGAACGCTGAAATTGCTGCTCTCCAAGACAATCAGACATGGGAATTATGTGACCTACCCCCGGGAAAAACACCCATTGGGTGTAAATGGATATTCAAGGTTAAACTTAAAGCCGACGGCACTATGGAGAGACACAAAGCGAGGCTTGTGGCAAAAGGATATACCCAACAATTTGGTGTGGATTACCTTGAAACATTTTCTCCGGTGGCAAGATTGACTACCATCCGAACTTTCCTTGCTCTAGCAGTTTCCAAGGCTTGGCATATCCATCAAATGGATGTGAATAATGCGTTCTTGCACGGTGATCTCCATGAAGAAGTATATATGGTATTGCTTCCCGGATTCCAGAATGAAAAACCCAACCAAGTGTGTAAACTGCTACGGTCTCTCTACGGCCTCAAGCAGGCAAGTCGCCAATGGAATGAGAAATTGCGTACTGCATTAGTGCATAGTGGCTTCCATCAATCCAAGTCTGAGCCATCCTTGTTTACCAGAGGCACTACTGATAGTTTCATAGCTCTGTTAGTATATGTCGACGATATAATTGTGGCCAGTGCAGACATCAACATCATAAACTCTGTTAAACGGTTTCTAGATGAAACGTTTAAAATCAAAGACTTGGGGCCTCTTGGGTACTTTCTGGGCATTGAAGCACGCAGGACTGATGACGGCATGAACATATGTCAACGAAAATATGCTCTGGATATACTGGAAGAAGCTGGATTCCTTGAGTGTAAACCAGTGAGCACTCCCATGGTGCAATCTCTGAAACTAAGCCGAGAAGATGACACCCCTTTGGCTGACCCTACGAGCTGGAAGGATGTTGTATCTCACAGCCACCAGACCCGATATTGCCTATTCTATCCAACAACTAAGCCAATTTGTCGACTCTCCCACAGACAAGCACCTGTTGGCGGCACATCGCGTTCTGAGATACATCAAGCAATCTCCTGGACAGGGCTTATTTTATCCCTCCAACACACAGTTGCAGCTGCAAGTTTTCTCAGATTCTGACTGGGCAGCATGCAGTGAAACAAGGAGATCGATCACTGGCTATTGTCTATTTCTTGGACAGGCTCTTGTCTCATGGAAATCAAAGAAACAAATGACAGTTTCAAGGTCCTCTTCGGAGGCCGAATACAGGGCATTAGCTGCAACGGTATGCGAGATACAATGGTTGGCTCACCTTCTACGTGATTTACATGTTGAAATGAAGAAGCCTGCGACTCTATTTTGTGACAACACCTCAGCCATAGCCATTGCTGAGAACCCCGTTTTTCACGAACGCACAAAACATATCGACATTGACTGCCATATAGTTCGAGAAAAGTTAAATCAAGGCCTCATCAAATTGCTGTCAGTCACTTCTGCAAATCAGGTCGCGGATGGCTTCACAAAACCCCTTGCCACGCATTTGTTCAAGCTATATGTGTCTAAGCTGGGCGTTCAAAATTTATACGCTCCAGCTTACCGGGGGGGGGGGGGGGGTATTAGAACATGTGGGAGAAGGGCAACTGGCAGGAGGTTAGAAGGGCACCTCGGTTTGTTATTTCTGTTATAACGGCTTTTGCCGCTTGTTTCCATCGAGGTATATCTACCCCTCGCATGCTTCTTGTACAAGTTGACAAAACAGACTTCCAATAACGACTTTCCAGTTCACAATATGCTTCCTCTCTTCCATCTCTCTCTTCGCTAAATCGAACTTTCGTCAAGGCTTGGCCTAAGCGACCTGGGGTCAAGCGCGGGGCTTCACCCGGGAGTCCGAGTCCAACCAGACCCGTCTTGTTCCGCTCTACAAAATCAAATTATTCTGGATCTATCTACAATATATTCATATATCCAGATCCATCTCGAATATATCTATCAATATTCATTAATTGAATCATAAAAATATGACAGGCTATGTCATAGGTCATGCCATCTTTAACCAATTCACATGATGTAGTTGTATATTTCTACTTTTAAGGGAGATCAATCTCTAAAGTCTTGTCTTCGAAGAAAACACACATTATCCTTTGATTTTTTTCCCTTTTTTAATATTATTTTTTGTCATATATCACCGCCCCTTTGGAATTATCGGGAGTGGAGAGTAGGTTCGTTGGTTGTTGACTGGCTTGGAACTATGGGGAATACGTAACTTGTTTGGTCAAGAAAAAAAGTGTATTTAATTTATTGCTTTATGTAAAAAGCGACTTTACAAAGATTAGGTAGTTGTAAAGAAGAGATAATTCACTTTTTATTTTAGATTAAAATGATATTTTATTATAAATTAGTTTGATGAGTGAGTTTTTTCTCACAAAAATGTATAATACTAATTATAGATAAATTAGTTATTACTCATAAAAAAATGTAATATTTATTATGAAAAATGTAATACTTTAAAATCAAAATATAATATTTAAAAGTAAAAAAATTACTTTTGTGAGAAACTATAATACTTATCAGTAAACACTGTAATACTTATAAAATATCTAATTCATCTCACGAATAAGAATTTATGAGGCGGTCTCATCATATGCGATTTTGACTAGCTTAACATATTTGAAATGTTTTTATATGAAGAAATGTGCCAAGCAACTTATGCTCTGGCACCTCTATGGCTCTCTTTAAGGGAAGGTCACAAAATCGAACTCCTCAATAGTTTGAAAAAATATATAACAGATACTACCTCTACTAATAGAGTTAATAGTATTAAAAAAAAAAAAATTCTTCTGAAACATTTTGGGTCAAATACTATTAATTTAACTAATTTTTGTCATTCAATTTTTCAAATATTTTGTGTCAAAATTTGTTGATTTGAAAACAACAAAAATTAAAGTGGCCAAAATCGATGAATTGACAATCTAAAACAAAAAAAAAAAAAAATGAAATGTTACTGTAGCAAAAAAGATAATAATAAAAAAGACATTAATTCTTATAAATAATTAATTATTTATATTGTCAAATGAACCTGTAGTAAAATTAAAATGATATTTTAATATTATTATAATAAATTTGTTATGTATATAAAATGAAACTGGATAATGTAATTAAAATGATACTTTAGCGTTACTATACTAAAACTAGTGTGTGTGAAAAATGAAACTAAAACAGTGCTCGTACAATGGTCCACGTTGCTACATGGATCATGGTCCCCAGTAAAATTTGCCAATTATTATTTGGACTGTTTTCTGTAAAACCGTCTCACTGGTCTCAATTCGTGAGACATGTCAAATCTAATAAAAATGGGTCATAATAGAATTGCACATATAATCAATACTTTAAACCTTATATATAATACTTTATATGATAAATGTAGTACTTTATATTAAAATTGTAATAGACAATTTGTAGTAAATAAATAAAATAATAACATAAGAAATTGCAGATATCATTAATACTTTAAGCCTTATATATAATAATTTATAGCATAAATGTAATACAAATTTTACAACGAATACAGTAATAACATAACAAAATTGCATATATCATCAATACTTTAATTTAAACTATATATATATATATATATATATATATATATATATATATATATATATATATATATATATAATACTTTATAGTATAAATGTAGTACTTTATACGAAAATTATAATATACAATTTACATGAAATAAAGTGACATTACATAGTAGAATTGCATATATAATCAATACTTTAACATGACATTTGGTTTATGGAATCCATTGGGAATGAGATATATATCATTCCGTGAAATATAATTCGCTGTTTTGTTCTATTTTTACAACAAGGAATATAATTCCACGAAACGGGTCATTCCATTTGCAATGGGAATAGCCATTCTCAATGCTCCCCTTGGTTTAAGCTATTCATAACCCATTCAGAATAACTATTTTTTATTATTCCAACAATACTCTTATAAATCCTTTAAATAAATACATATATTTTCAACCTTCCTTCAACCTCCTACGGTTAATTTGTCAACATCCCATCATCACTAAGGTAAGATAATATGTTATATATATATATATATATATATATATATATATATATATATATATATATATGTGTGTGTGTGTGTGTGTGTGTGTGTGTGTGTGTGTGTGTGTGACTACAAAAAAACACCGAAATAGCGACGGACAAATTCCGTCACTAAGTAGTGAAAATCCGTCGCTAAAGTGGTTAGCGATGGATTAGTGACGGAACTCGTCCGACACAAAATACCCCGTCGCTAGAATTTAGCGACCGAAATTTATTCCGTCGCTATACCTAGCGACGGAACTGTCCGTCGCAACCTGGAGATATTCCGTCGCTAATGTTCTTCCGACGACGGATTCGGAGTCAAAATTTGCGACCGTATAATGACGGACTAGTCTGTCGCTAGATTTAGCGACGACATTTCCGTAGCTAAAAGTATTAATTATCCATCGTTAATGTCTACTTACAATAATCCGGCGACGAGATTTGCCACGGCCTAGCTACGGATTGTTCCGTCGCTAAATATAGCGACGGAAATGTCCGTCGCTAGCTTTCGTCCTATCAGCACTATTTTTATTATTATTATTTTGAATTGAATTTCATTTAGCTACAACTTATTATTTCCGTCACTATTTCGTTACCTTTCTACCATATTTGTCCGTCGCTAAATTCTAAAAATTAATAAAACTAATGTACCTGCTAATTAATATAAAAAACTTGCATTAAAACTATAATATAGTACTTGAATAATGTAATTATAAAATATATTATATTAAAATATTTAAAGTCAATAACAATAACAAGTCAATAACAATAACATAAGTATAGCAATATATAATGTACTAATGTGACATCATTAGAACTAATACCAAATATTATAATAAACATATAATCTAATCATCTCCTAAGTTTTCATCATTTGAATTAGCTGAATGTTGAGGTTGAGTACTTGGAGTGGATAGCATGCCGTTGCGACGCAACTCATCCATCAAACTTGCAATCTGAGCTTGCATTTGAGTTCTTTCAGCTTGTAATTTAGCTTCCATCTCACCTTGTAGTTTAGCTTCCATCTCAACTCGCATGGTCTCTAACTGTTGATTCACCATCTCCTTCATTGACTCTTGTTGAAGTTGTGAAGTAGCAGATGATGAACTACAGTTATTCTCAGTGATAAATGCAAATGACTTAGTCCCTAAGCCATAAATACGCTGTTTTTTTACCCCACCAACAACATCCACATACAGTTGTGACATGTTTATAACTGGTGGCTCATTTGACCCTTCCGCCTCTAGGATTGCAGCATCACGCCGTGCTTGTATTTCGTCCTACAATTAAAAATATATCCCAAATAAGAGAACTATATAAAGGCATATAAGAATTGTGTCTATTTGATAATATACGGTTATTAGGTTATACTTGCAGCAATTTTTTTTTTACCTCTCATCAACGAATGTACCATCCTTCTTTTTGTGCGTATGCTCAAAGCACTCATACGGATCAGGGTCCTTTTGAAGCGTAGCTCGCTATTAAACAAGCACAAACAATAATATGATACTTAAATCCGTAAAATATGTACAAATAATAATTTTTAATGTTAAATGTATTACCAATGCGTGAAAGTGCTCAATACTTGATCTAGATCCTCCGGTATGTCGGGAACATCCCGTACCAGGCCCGGCTACGTCACTCATCCTATTTTTGCGTGCTTGCTCAGATTTAGCTTTCACTTCAGGCCTATCCCAATATGCCTCCCAAATGCGCCATGTATCTTCATGTACACATTCTGGCTTCCAAGCTGATGTCCGCTTCTTCATTTTGGAGACCAAATCTGAATAGCGTGTGGCTGCTTGTGTAAAAAACGCTTTACGAAATAAACAATCATGCATATTTTCATAAGCCTCCGGTACCCACAGGCGGTTTAGCCAGAGAAAACATAAGTGCCGGTACCCACAAGCGGTTTAGCCGGCAAATAAACAACAAAAGAAAATTTTTTTAGTTCACTGCTATTAATTCAAATCAGTTGATTAGATTACTATGTTAGAGATTAAAACTTTTTGGCCTTGGTTTTTACCCTCCAGGCAACTCCTTGTTCTACCTTAAGTACTAAAAAAGATTCAAGATAGCAGCAGCAATATAGTTTCCTCCTAAAAATTTGCAACTCTCCCTCTCTTTTCTTCTTTTCTTGGGGAAAAGAGAATGGTATGTAACACACAAATCAATCCGCGAGTATAAAATTTTGTGTCTTTAAACAAATTCTAATTCTAATTTTTTACTTCCTACTATGTTTCTACTCCATAGAAATACATTTATCATTTTCCAAATCAAAATTAATATTCTGCGTATTTGTTAATTCAATTAACATTATTTTACTTCCTACTGCGTATTTACCAAACAAGGCTAATCATTCATTATTTTAAGCAAAACATTATTTGTTTATGAAATCTTATAATTCAATTGCATCCATCAATTGAATTTATGTATCTATTTCTGTATCTATTTCTGTAAAGAAGGGCAAACAATTATTTATGTATCTATTTATATATGTATCTATTTGACTCTAGAATTAATCAAACAATGTGTTCGGAGAGTAGATGAGGAAATTACCTTCGCAGTTGGAGAGCTTTCGCCGATTCGCCGATTCGCCGTGGAGCTTTCGTCGGAGAGTAGAGATGCGGTGGAGCCTTCGTCGGAGAGCAGAGACGCCGGCTGTGGGCTGTTGCTGGTGGGAGGGCTGCGATATGCGAGAGAGAAGAATAAGGGCTTAGGGCTGCGCTATTCCAAACCCTTAGGACTTAGGAGAAGAATGAGTAATTAATTAGGTGTGGTTTATGAACTCTAGCTACGGATTAACATTCTCTCATTATTTTTTATTAAAAGTAAGAGCTGCGACATTAATTAAATTATCATTCTTGTTCCTAGCGACGGATATCGATTCCGTCGCTATGAAACATTTAATAAAAAAAAATTTACTAAAATTAATGACGGATTTAATAGTCTGTCGCTATTGAACTCATATGAAAACACCTTGTGGACAACTTAGCGACGGACCGATATATCCGTAGCTATTCAACGCATACGAACGAAGCCGTTTAGTCATCTTAGCGACGGATTTCACCGTCCATCGTTACATAGCTACGGATCAATATTTCCGTCGCTATGTACTCTAAAGCCGTACTAATTCTAGCGACGGATATGAGTATCCGTCGCTAGACTTGAATCTCGAATACATGAAACTTAGAAAATAGCGACAGATGTTTAAGTCGGTCGCTAGTATGTAGCTAGAACAATTTCGAAATTAACCCACGAAAAATCCGTCGCCAATCCGTCACTAAGTTTTGCGCCAAAAATTCCCGCTAATAGTAGCTACGAATTTAACGACAACACTCATCCGTCGTAATATCCGTCACTAATCCGTCGCAAAAATCCAATTTAACAAGAAAACTAAATTCCGTCACTAAATAGTCGCTATTCTGTCGTTAAATTAGCTACGGAATGCGTCCGTCTCTAGATCCGTCGCTATTTCGGTGTTTTTTTGTAGTGTGTGTGGGGGGGGGGGGGGGGTGTAGTGTGTGTATGTGTGTGTGTGAGAGCGCACGCATATATGCGTTGGAGAAATTCTTGAGAGTTGATTCACTTTTCCTTTTGTGCTTTGCTTGACCTCACAATTCTCTCTTGGTCCAAAACTTTAATAATGATTTTCCGATTGTTGTTTTCTACATTTCATATGGGTGGATATTATACATTGAGAATGAGTGATGCAACATCAGTTTTGGGATTGTGGAATGGAGACTATACTAGAAAATTAACTTGATTGTAAAATTAGAAGGCTTCGAACTGATAGCGGTTTAGAATATGAATCAATTTTTTTAAATTTGTGTGTTAAAAAGAATGAATAATACATGAAGTAACTGATCCGTAAAGAAATGATGAATGTTATGCTTATTAGTTCTAGTTCTCTTGATAATAGAGTGCTACCTAATGGTTTTGAAAAAATCCTTAATGAACTATGGAAAGATTATACCCCATGTTTAAATTATTTCTAAGTGCGGGAGCATTTAGCTAAAGTGGGCTTACCGCCTTATAAGATGATTAATATTGGTCCAAACACTTTAGATGTTGTGTATGTTGGATATGTTCAAAATAGTATTGTTTACCGATTTATGTGCTTAGATAACAATATGTGAATATAGATATGCTCAATTTTTTGAGCACATTTTTCTTGTGAAGTCTGCTACCACTTGCTCAAGTGTGCCTTCACATGATCTTGCATCTTCATCTAGACTTCTATTTGAACCAATGATAGAACCACCTAAGAGAAGTAAGAGGTGTATAACATAAACGAGTTTTTGCTAAAATTTTATTACCTATCTAACAAAACTAGATGATCTTGATAAGATTAATGATAAGGTTGTGTGTGTTCACATTTTAGCAGAAGAGCCAAAAAGTTTTAAAGATGCCATGAACTTTGTTGACTCTAATTTTTAGAAAGAAGCTATAGACAGTGAATTAGAATAAATTAAGTCATAATCATACATGGGAACTAGTAGACTTGCTTAAGGTTTTAAACCAATAGGTTGTAAATGGGTTTTTAAAAGAAAGATGGAAACAGACGAAACAATTGAAAGGTTTAAATCTCGGTTGGTAGCCAAAGGTTATACACAAAAGCTTGGAGAAGATTTTTTCTATAGTTACTCCCCAGTTACTAAAATAACCACAATTTGTGTCTAGCTTGTTTGCTCTAGCATCTATGCTTAGGTTATTGGTACACCAAATGGACGTAAAATCTACGTTCTTAAATGGTGATTTAGATGAGGAGATATATATGGAGGAACCCCCAAGACCTGTAACTCCTGGACCATAACATAAGGTATGTAGACTTAAAAAGTCCTTATACGGCTTAAAACAAACACCAAAACAATAGCATGGAAAATTTCATAACACAATATTAAGTCTATGTTATATTGTTAATCGTCCGGATGCTTGTGTTTAGACCAAATCTATAGGTTCTATCTTGCGATAATATGTCTATATGTTGATGATATGCTTATTTTCAGTGTGAATATCAGTGCTATAAATGAGACTAAAAGACTATTATCTACCAAATTTGATATGAAAGATTTGGGGGAAGCCGATGTGATTCTAGATTTCTAGGGGTAAACGTTAGTAAAATTGAACATGCATACCTTTTTTCACAAAGTCATAATACTAAGAAGTTTTGAAAAAAAAAATTCAACAATTATGATGTGACACCGTCTAAAACCCATCATATGATTCTAGTGTAAAATTGAGAAAAAAAATCAAGGGACATATGTGTCCCAAGAAGAATATGCAAAAATAATTAGTCTTATGTTTTTTTATTTTTATGAATTACACTAAACTTGATATAGCCTATGTAGTGAACAGGCTCAGCAGTATATCCATAATCCAAATGGAGAGCACTAGAGTGCTCTTAGACGGGTCCTGAGGCATCTTAAAGGTACAAATGATTGTGGTATTCACTTTGGAGGATTTCCATCTATATATGTTGGAAGGCTCTTGTGATGCTAATTGGGTATCTAATAGTGATGAAATTTTCTCCACAAGTGGATATTTCTTCACTATGTGCGGAGCTGCTATATCATGGAAATCAACAAAACAATCATGCATAGCTAGATCTACTATTTAATCAGAAATCATAGCTCAAGATCTAGCAGGACAAGAAGTAGAATAGCTAAGAAGCCTACTGGCAGATGTGCCATTGTGGGGGTGTCCAACATACACCATCAATTCCTATACATTGTGATTCACAAGTTGCGATATGTGTCGAAAAAATAATGTCTATAATGGAAAGGGAAGGCACATTTGAGTCAAACATGAGTATGTAAGGCAATTAATTGCAAATGGCATGATCACAATGAAAATTGAGATCTGAAAGAAATATAACAAATCCCTTAACAAAAGAACTTAACAGAAAATTAGTTCTTGAGTCCTTAAGGGAAATGGGGTTGAAACCCTCAAGGTGAGGAATCTATGGTAAACAACACTTTGCTGGTGAAGATGAGACATGGAAAGATTCACATCCAGTATTTCAGATCTATGAATAACTACTAAATAATGTGAGGCTGAACATAAAATGTTCTTAATAACTTATCGCCTAGAAGAGGCGCTCTATGTAGGGATAAACATGAGAAAGTCAACTATTTGGGTGTGAAGGTAATCTTGACCTTCTTTGAAAGACATGTAGTCTTTCTAAGAGCATCCATGAGCAAACATAAGGTAAAATTAGTCAAAAGAGGTTTTGACTTTCACAGAATGTACATTTTTTTAAGAAGTAGTATGTGTCATAAAGTTCAAAACTTGTATGTTATGTGAGTTCAAGAGGCACCTTGTAAATACTAAAGTCAAATGTGGAAATGGGCAGAACCTTTTTCTGATGAGGTTAGGAGTAGGAGCAAGAACACTTGGTCTGAAGAGCAAGATGTTCATCTCTTAAAAGCACGGTGCTCATCTCTTAAGAGCACGATGCTCATCTCTTAAGAGCACGATGCTCATCTCTGAAGAGCACGATGCTCATTTCGAAAGAGCAGGAGAAAGAGCAAGATGCTCATTTCGGAAGAGCAGGAGAAAGAGCAAGATGAAGTTGCAGGAGATGGTTTGCTATAAATAGGCAACTCCTCTTCATCCAATCTCATCCCATTCCATCAGGAATTCTCCCATTAGCATAGCAAAATATAGAGAGTAGAATAGAGAGTTATATTTGTAATTCCTATTTGTAATATCCTTTTGCCAATACAGAAAATCCTTCTTCAAATTGCCTTTATTTTGTGTATGATTT